TTGAACTTAAGAAAGAAATCATTGATAAGTATGAAAGTGGAGTACGTATCACCGACCTGGTCAGGTTGTACAAGAAACCAAAATCAACCATCGGTTCTATTGTGGGCAAGAAAACGGCAATCAAGGAAGCTGTTGTTGCCAAAGGTTTAACTGTGTTTTCGAAACAAAGATCGCAAGTGATGGAAGATGTTGAGAGACTCTTATTGGTGTGGATAAATGAGAAACAGATAGCAGGAGATAGCATCTCTCAAGCGATCATATGTGAAAAGGCTAGGAAGTTGCATGACGATTTAATTAAAAAAATGCCTGCAACTAGTGATGATGTGAGTGAATTTAAGGCCAGCAAAGGTTGGTTTGAGAGATTTAAGAAGCGTAGTGGCATCCATAGTGTGATACGGCATGGTGAGGCTGCCAGTTCGGACCACAAAGCGGCTGAAAAATATGTGCATGAATTCAAGGAGTACATAGAAACTGAAGGACTGGAACCTGAACAAGTGTTTAATTGTGATGAAACAGGCCTGTTCTGGAAGAAAATGCCAAGCAGGACCTACATTACTCAGGAGGAAAAGGCACTCCCAGGACATAAGCCTATGAAAGACAGGCTTACTTTGTTGATGTGTGCCAATGCTAGTGGTGATTGCAAAGTTAAGCCTTTATTAGTGTATCACTCTGAAACTCCCAGAGCGTTCAGGCAAAAGAATGTCCTCAAGGATAATTGTGTGTGCTGTGGAGGGCAAACAGTAAGGCATGGGTCACTAGGGAATTTTTCTATAACTGGTTACACCATGCATTTGCCCCAATGTGAAAGATTACCTAACTGAAAAGAAATTAGACCTTAAGTGCCTCCTGGTGTTAGACAATGCCCCTGGTCATCCTACAGACGTGGCAGAGCGACTTTATGGGGACATGAGCTTCATTAAGGTGAAGTTTTTGCCTCCTAATACCACTCCTCTCCTGCAGCCCATGGACAGCAGGTCATTCCACTTCAAGAAACTGTACACAAAAGCTCTGTTTCAAAAGTGCTTTGAAGTGACCACAGACACTGGATTGACTCTAAAAGAGTTTTGGAAGGATCACTTTAATATCCTCAGTTGTGTAAACCTTATAGGTAAGGCTTGGGAGGAGTGACTAAGAGAACCTTGAACTCTGCTTGGAAGAAACTGTGGCAGAATGTGTAGACAAAAGGGATTTTGAAGGTTTGAGGCTAACCCTGAGAGGAGTAGTATACCAGTTGAGGAATCAATTGTGGCATTGGGGAAGTCCTTGGGGTTGGAGGTTAGTGGGGAGGATGTGGAAGAGTTGGTGGAGGAGGACAATGAAGAACTAACCACTGATGAGCTATAGATCAACTTCAAGAGCAAGAGGCCAGACCTGGGGAAACTGGTTCAGAGGAGGGGAGAGAGAAATTGAAGGAATTGCCTACTTCAAAGTTAAGGAAATGTGTGCAAAATGGCTTGAAGTGCAAACCTTTTTTGATGAAAATCACCCTCACACAGCTATTGCAAGCCGTGCTGGTGACTATTACAATGACACTGTTGTGAAACACTTTAGGCAAGTCATAAAGGAACGAGAGGTACAGGCCACTATGGACAGATATGTTGTGCGAAAGAAGTCCAGTGACTCTGAAGCTGGTCCTAGTGGCATTAAAAGAAGAAGGGAAGTAACCCCAGAAAAGGACTTGCTACCTCAAGTCCTAATGGAAGGGGATTCCCCTTCTAAACACTAACACTCTCTCTCCCCTCCTCCCATCCCATCAATCATCACCAGATCTTCAATAAAAGTAAGTGTCATGTAATTGTGCATGCCTTTTTCAGTTTGTGTGTACTAAAATTAACATTTTTTTGTGGTAAAAAATTTTTTTTTTCATACTTTTGGGTGTCTTGCACGGATTATATTTTATTTCCATTATTTCTTATGGGGAAAATTAATTCGCATAGCGAACATTTCGCATAACGAACAGCCTCTTGCACGGATTAAGTTCGCTATGCGGGGGTCCACTGTACTATATTTTTCTGGTGTAAACCTGATTACCTCTCATTCCCCATACAATGTATGACACTTATGAGTTCAGACTAACAGCTTTTCAGTACAGTGAACCCTTGAATTAATGGACTAATAGGGATGGGAGGGGTGTACATTATTGCCAGTTGTCCATAGATTCCAAGTTATGAAATTAATTTTTCATGATTTTAACTTTAATGGACAAAGTTTGGAATCAGTGGACTTGGTCCTTTGATTCAGAATACTACTGCAGAATAATACTACAATGCACCACTGGCTCCCCGTTTTTTTTTTTTATACTGCGCACACTGACCATGAAGACCCATTCTCTCACATGTGGGCCTACCAGCTTTCTCCTGCTTGATTTGAAGCCACTAGAATTTTGGCGTATTAGTACGTCAAACACATTGGCTCGTAAAACGTATATAGTATTCGACTGAAACAGTCAAAGGGTTAATCATGAATCCCCAGCACACTCATGGTTTAAAATGCTGTATAAATTTTGTTGGTTTATAAACCTTTTGGTTGTTTTAGAATAGTGTACTATACATTATTTGTCACATGTACCTTAGTAATCTAATAACACATACATATACAGTTGTACTTGGAACTATTCAGTACAAAATCTATAATTTGTCTCACTGGTAAAGAGTAATTTAATATATTTTAAGGTTGAATTCAGCATATTGCTCAGTGAAATTTAGACTGAACATGAAATTAGTAGTTTTGCTTGTATTAAAATTGAACTTTTACTGAACATGGGCAAGTTTTCCTTTTCTTATGACCATATTTAGTGTTAACTAAAAGGAAGAGAGTATAGAAGAAAGTAAGAAAGATAGAAAAATGAATATCTTTTTCTTTTTTCAACAAACTGCTGTATCTCACCAAAACAGGGTGGCCAATAAATAAAAAAGTTTCTCTTTTTAACTTTAGTACGTGTAATGTATACAGGAGAAGAGGTTATTAGCCCCTCGCTCCTGGCATTTTAGTCGTCTCTTATGACATGCATGGCTTACGGAGGAAGAATTCTGTTCTGGAGATAAGTAAATATATAGTTGTTTGCAATGTGTGTTACTGGGTGTGTATTTGGAAAAAATCAAATTTTCAAAAAAGTAAATATAACCCCGTAGCCTGGCTAGCAAAGCTCTCGCGTCACACACACGGGGCCCGGGTTTGATTCCTGGCGGGGTAGAAACATTTCGATGCATTTCCTTACACCTGTTGTCGTGTTCACCTAGCAGCAATTAGGTACCTGGGTGTTAGTCGACTGGTGTGGGTCACATCCTGGGGGACAAGATTGAGTACCCCAGTGGAAATAAGTTAGGCAGTCCTTGATGACACAATGACTTTCGTGGCTTATCCTGGGTGGCTAACCCTCCAGGGTTAAAAATCAAAATGAATCTTTTCTTATCTTAACTCTAAATATATTTATAAAGTTATTACAATAACTGTTTATGTAAGTAAATTTATTTAGGCACAGGTACACACAAGTACAATTATCATACATAGTGTAAATTACCTAGGATAATCCAGACAAGTCAGACAAAGTGAATTATTTCCATTTGCAAAATGGGTGTCCATACATGTAAAACTGTCACCTTGTATTAGATTATCATGATGAAAGATGTGACTTTGTGAGGAAATGTGATGGAAGTTTGGTTAAAGACAAGCAATGGTGAAACTTTGTTTCATCTCTAAATTATAACAGTGGTGTATCTATCTTTTCTTGTATAATTCAGCAAAATAGAATGCCCCATATTTGAGCAAAATGGAAAAATGTATGTAGGTACCGAGCACAGGTTCTCCATTAATGCTAGGTAACATAAATTGCTAAGCTGCCTTCTTTCCCATATTTATCTTTTAGTATGGAATGAAGTAACTCTGCTAAATTGAATTCATCTTCATGTTTATATTTAATATTAGAACAAAGGGTTGAAGCCCCAGTATTTAAGACATGAGAAGATAAAAGAGGTAAGAAAAGACTGACAGGTCATTAAAAGAATTGCAATGAGACTTCTCCTCAAAGAATACGATGACAATTAAAATCACCAAACAACTTAACCGGTGTGGATAAAATTGAAACCTAAATCCACAGCTTGTTGAAATATGATGGACATGAAGGAGAGAGACATAAGTAATTATGGAATGTAATCTACAGTGTAGTGTAGTATAGTTTGAACATCAAATCTAGTTCACAGAATTGTGAAGTATTATTGGAGAAGTGAAGGCCAGAAACACAAGTTGAATACTGAACAAATGCAAATGAAGATGTTGAGATAATATTGTCATCATTTCTTGGAAGGATTAGGTACTCACAAAGGATTGAGAGATGGAAGTTGCAAAATAAGCTGTTATGCCTTCAGTTATCTTTCATCTTCAAGGAAGAGGAAAGTGGTACATATTTAGCTCTCAGATGAGCTTATAATAAACAAGAAACCAAGTGGGTTTTATTTTCTCTAAAACCTGTTTGATCCTTGTCAATAAAGTTTCCAAAGACAATAAAAGCTAGCAACTGATTAAAGTGAATCAAGGGTGAATCTCCTGTCTTGAAGATCATTATGCATGATCATTTTGCACATTGTGGCTGTGCTTAGTGTCAACAGCTGGGAGCTACGCTGGCATGGGAATGTAAGCCAGTGCAGCCCTTGGTGGCTATGAAGGCTTCACTCCCCCAACAAGTAAACATGGCTGCTCATGAAAGGAATTTAGTATACGTATATGTCTAAAAGCATGATGATCTTGACATGCAGCAGTGATTTTGAAACTGTTACTGTACATTTTTCTTTTGCACCGTGTTTTGCCTTTCCTCCTCCTTTATACATAACATCAGCAGTCATCATATGCCCATGTTTGACCCCCCATGCTCTTGTCATTTCAGCATTTCAGTAAGAATATAAATATGAAAAAGAGTATGGACTTATTCTAGCATGTAATTTTATGTGTTGTGTGTACAGTATAGTATTGGTAAAATGAGTTTGTACATCTGTTTTCAGATCCTTGTTGGGGGAGTAATAACGTTAACTAGCTCAGTCGTTTCTATAGTTTACATCATTGGTCTGCCCTACTATTGGCAGAAATCACCGATACTCTGTTTTCTAACTGTACTAGGACACTGGTTGCTAATAAATGTCATCTTCCACTTCACAATGGCAGCAATTACTGACCCAGGTACACCTCCAAAGGTGAGTTAATTTATGCTTAATTCATAGTGCCACATAAAATTCAGCATGTACTGTAATCCATCTTAATGAATAATTTTAAGACAAATTTTCTAGGATTAATTAATTTTGCTGAAAGAAATGCCATCATAAGTAAATACTGGCAAATGCATGTTGAACTGTGATGGGTTCTAACAGATATACTTATAACTTATGTTATAAGTATATTTATAACTTATGTTATAAGTAAAACTTATAACTTATGTTAAAAAAAAAATTAGGGTGAGTACTTACTGAGATATGAGGCTGCAAAGTTGGCACTTAATGACACCTGAGGGCAACATGAGTCCTGCCGCTTGCATAAGTGTTGCCGATATACCTTTTTTTTTTTTAACAAGTCGGCCATCTCTCACCGAGTCAGGGTGACCCAAAAAGAAAGAAAATCCCCAAAAAGAAAATATGTACTTTCATCATCATTCAACACTTTCACCTCACTCACACATAATCACTGTTTTTGCAGAGGTGCCCGAACACAACAGCTTAGAAGCATATACGTATAAATGACTCACAAAATCGTAATGACACAATTGCAAACAACCCATACCACGGGCGGGGATAGAACCCACGATCAGAGAGTCTCAAAACTCCAGACTGTCATGTTAGCCACTGGACCAGCTAGCCACAATAAGATTCATCCAACTAGGTATATTTCTACACCATAGGAAGGTTAGCATAGGCACCACTGTGACCACAAATGCAAGTTTTTACAGATGAATCTCCAGCTAGCGTGGCCGTGACGAACTCTAGCTCAAGTCCCCTCAAAGCCGTTAACATGACTCACGAAATCGTAATGACACGATTGCAAACAAACCATACCATGGGTATGGATAGAACCTGTGATCAGAGAGTCTCAAAACTCCAGACAGTCGTGTTAGCCACTGGACTAGCTAGCATTTGTGGTCACAGTGGTGCCTATGCTAACCTTCCTATGGTGTAGAAATATACCTGTTGGATGAATCTTATTGTGGCTAGCTGGTCCAGTGGCTAACGCAATGGTCTGGAGTTTTGAGACCCTCTGATCGCGGGTTCTATCCCCGCCCGTGGTATGGTTTATGTACGTATAAAGATACACAACATATCCCTCCAAACTGCCAATATCCCGAACCCCTCCTTTAGAGTGCAGGCATTGTACAGTGGACCCCCGGTTTAACGATTTTTAATTTCCTGCAAGGGGGTAATTGTTATGCGAAATAATCGTTATGTGAATGAATTTTCCCCATAAGAAATAATGGAAATAAAATTAATCCGTGCAAGACACCCAAAAGTATGAAAAAAAAAATTTTACCACATGAAATATACATTTTCCCACACACAAAGAGAAGGATACATGCACAATAGTAGAGTAGTAAATGCACAGTATATATTGTGCATGTACTAGTCTACTAAATGAAGAATAAATGACACTTACCTTTATTGAAGATGCAGCAATGACTGATGAGACACTGTGTCCTGGGAGTGCCTTTTCCTCCTGAGTACTGTAGGTCCTGTTTGGCATTTTCTTCCAGAACAGGCCTTATCACACTGTGTATGCCACTACGATTCTTAAATCTCTCAAACCAACCTTTGCTGGCTTTAAATTCACCAATATGAGCACTAGTTCCAGGCATTTTTCCCTGTTCACCTGGGTGTTAGTCGACTTGTGTGGGTTGCATCCTGGGAGACAAGATTAAGGACCCCAATGGAAATAAGTTAGACAGTCTTCGATGACACTGACTTTTTTGGGTTATCCTGGGTGGAAAATCCTCTGGGGTTAATTGTTTTTTGGTATTCTCAATAAGCCACACCAACAAGGGTGCTACAGCAGCAGCAGCAGCTGACAGTGCAGCAGCAGCAGCAGCTGACAGTTCAGCAGCAGCAGCAGCAGCAGCTGACAGTGCAGCAGCAGCAGCAGCTGTACCACCAATAGTAGCGATGGTTGATTGGGGTTTATTATACAACCTGGCCAGCTCGGAGACATGCACTCCACTTTCATACTTATCAATGATCTTTTTCTTCATCTCTATTGTAATTCTCACCCTTATTGCTGTAGGGTTGGCACTAGAAGCTTTCTTGGGGCCCATGGTCACTTATTTTCCAGAAAAAGCACCGAAAACACTGTAATAATACGAAATATTCCGATTGTATGCTTGGATGTTACCGCGGAGGCTGGCTGGTAAACAATGCCACCGGCGGAACATGTGAGCGCGTCTCGGAAGAAAATCGGTAAGCGGGTTTTTAAGCGGTATGTGAGGCAAAATTTTTGCAATTAAAGTAAGCGGTATGCGAAATAATCGCTATGTGATGCCATCGTTATGCGGGGGTCCACTGTACTTCCCATTTCCAGGACTCAAGTCCGTCTATAAAAATAACCAGTTTCCCTGAATCCCTTCACTAAATATTACCCTGCTCACACTCCAACAGATCGTCAGGTCCCAAATACCATTCGTCTCTATTCACTCCTATTTAACACGTTCATGCGCGCTTGCTGGAAGTCCAAGCCCCTCACCCACAACGCCTCCTTTACCCCCTCCTTCCAACCTTTTCGAGGACGACCCCTACCCCGCCTTCCTTCCCCTACAGATTTATACGCTCTCCATGTCATTCTAGTTTGATCCATTCTCTCTAAATGACCAAAACCACCTCAACAGCCCCTCTTCAGCCCTCTTACTAATACTTTCATTAACTCCACACCTTCTAATTTCCACACTGCGAATTTTCTGCATAATATTTACACAACAGGAAGGAATACATATAAATGACCTCATAGGGGACAGGAGCCATAGTAGGGAAACAAGTGTAGTCAAAGATAAGATAAAACCAATATTGCAAACTAGAAATACCGCAGGAAATAGCAAACAAGAGGACTCCACTAGCAATAGTGAGGATATATTACCAAAAACAACTGGTGGGAGCTCCATTGTTGGTGCTAGGGAGGATAGGAGTAAGACAGGGAAACATGCACTAACAGGGAATACAGTCACAGAAACCCAAGGCAAACGGAAACCAAGCCTGTGCACATACTATGCACTTGGGTATCTGCAGCATGGAAATCTGGAAAAACAGACGGGACTCCAACTATGACCACCCTAGAAAATGCCATGCCCATATGACAACGGGAAAATGCAAACCCCCTTCCTTTTAATTTTTTCCCACCCTGAAATGTGTACCTCTTCAGTACAGGAAAGACTGTGCTATAACTTAAATTGCCAGGCACACCATCTAAAGGGGAAAAAAAAGCTACAAAACATCCAGGCCATGGGAAAACTGGGTAGCCACAGCCCACTCAAGAGGGAGAGGTTTTTTAGTGCCAGGAAGGAAAAAAAACTGGCAGGAAATGGCAGAAATCGTACACCAAATCCAGTCAAATTTCCTGGGTGGAACCACAGTCGATGGCCTCCACTCCAAAACCCAAAAGATACAGATACTAATGCGGAAAAAAAAATCCCCCCCCCAGTACCAAAAATACCACCAGTCCGATGACCTTTCTTCTTTGCAAATATACAGGGTCTAAGCCAGCAACAAACAACAAAAAAACCTTTCATCCGTGGGCTGCTTTCAGAGGCAAAGCAATGTTTTGCGGCTTCACTGAGACCCACATAAAGGATCACTTAGACAACGAAATATGGATCCCAGGTTACAACCTATACAGATGTGACAGAGTGAACAGGCAAAAGGGGGGGCGGTTGCTGTACATTGCAGAGTCACTTGTTTCACAGAACTGCTTAATGCCTCAAATGATGTAGTGGAAGTTTTAGCAGTAAAGGTTGAGACCAAAACCTAGACATTGTGGTAGTCTACAAGCCTCTGGATGCAACATCCCAGCAATTCCAGGAACAGCTGTTAAAATTGACCACTGTCTGGAAAATCTTCCAGCTCCTGCACCCAACATTTTGCTCCTGGGGGATTTCAACTTAAGGCCCTAAAATGGAGGAATATAGCAAATAATATTTTGCAGTAATAACACCAGGAGGGCAGCTCTGATGAAAACTCACACTCACACAAGCTTTTAAATCTCTGCACAAAATTCAATTTAAAACCAGCAAATAATAGAGCCTACTAGACGGAGAATACACTAGACCTCATCTTCACTAACAATGAGGGATCTGATAAGAATGTCACCATATCAAAAACAAAATACTCAGATCACAACATAATTGAGGTTCAGCCCTGTATGCGTGGAGCCCCAGACCGACAAATGAGACTAGTCACGAGGGAGCATTAAACCAAGTTCAACTTCAATAACAAAAACATAAAGTGGGACCAGTAAACCAAGTCCTAACCGATATAAGCTGGGAAGATATACTAAGCAACACAGACCCCAACTTATGCCTAGAACAGATTAACTTGGTGGCACTCGATGTATGCACAAGGCTTATTCCTCTAAGAAAAAGGAGGAGTAGATGTAAAATAGAAAGAGACAGGCGATCCTTTACAGGCGACGGAAAAGAATAACAGAGCGGCTAAAAGAGGTCAATAAATCTGAAATGCATAGGGAGACACTGGTCAGAGAAATAGCAAGCATCGAACTTAAGCTAAAGGAATCTTTATAGGAGTCAGGAATCATGGGAAGAACAAAAAGCCATAAATGAAATCGAAAGAAACCCAAAGTATTTGTTCCCCTCCTATGCCAAATCAAAGTCGAGAACAACATCCATATTGGGCCCCTACTTAAACAAGATGGGCCCCTACACAGATAAACAGCAAGGAAAATGAGTGGCTACTCAAGTCTCAATATGACTCAGTTTTTACCCAAGGCCGCTAACCAGACTGAGAGTCGAAGATCAAAATGAATTTTTATGAGAAAGTCACAAAATTTGATTAACACAAGCCTATCCGATGTTATCCTGACGCCAAATGACTTCGAACAGGCGATAAATGACATGCCCATGCACTCTGCCCCAGGCCCGACTCATGGGAAATCCGTGTTCTCAAGAACTGCAAGAAAGCCCCTTCACGAGCCTTTCCAAACTATGGAGTGGGAGCAT